CGTTGGCTCTCCGTTTTGGCGAGGTGAGGCCAAGTGAATAAACACACTGGGATCCCGTATGTGTTTTCGAGACAGCATACATCAGTGGTACGAGATTCTAGGGTTCTAGCCAAGGCAGCCTGGCGACCTATTTGACATAGGGTTCGTACGTTGAAGGCTCCAATGTGTAGTTTGGAGCGACGTTTCAGTAGACTTGGGACAGTGTTTTGAGCACTAGAATTGTTGGCTATGGTGACACTTGAGGAATAAGCCGAAAAAGGAAGCTTAGAGTTGAAAGTCGATGTAAGAGGAATAATAGGAATTGAAGAGGGAGGTTGATTGTGAATACAGTGGTCTTGAGTGCTGTTAGAGGTATGTGGGCGGTTATCACTTCCCGGTTGCCCACATCGTGGAAGGGTTCTTCTAGAGGTGAACTGAGAACGTAACTGCAGTGCTCGAGGGACAACTACTTTAGGTCGGTCACACACGACCTTTTTATGGGTAATTTTTGTGTTAGCTCCGTACTTGTTGAGACCTTACCGCCAGAGACGGATATCCGTGGGATAAGGCGAGGTGTGCACTTTTAGGGTCGACCTTTTTTAACCCCACCCCTACTTGTGGGAAGGCAGCATCGCTGTCATGCTGGTTGTTTGAAGGAAACACCTTACTACTATCTCACACCTCTGTATAGTCAACAGTACGACTTCGCCTTCGGACCTTGGGTTTGCTGCTTTCAGTTTTACCGCTCTTTAACCGACGTGTCTAGCATAGTGGGATCTTTAGGAACGATTGTTCAAGCCAGTATAGCTTGACTAGTTCATCACGATAGGCAAGCCCGACCATCACCTCAAGGCAGCAACAACTTTTCTGCACGACCATCACCGATACTACTCGATTACAGAAGTGTATGTAAGTAATGTTTGAAACCACAACCTACAGATCGAAAGTTGGGTGCTCGAACGTTTAAGTTCATTAATGTACATCCTCCAGTAGATGTAACCCAATGATAACAATTACTATTAAATCGACTAAATACTTATTAATCATTTCAACGATTACTTTATTTTTTTTCGGTTTTAGTCAAGGAGATGGTGTCTCTTTCCGAATCCGAGAAATTCCAGCTCATGAAGACTACTCCCTGTTGTTGTCGACTATTTAGTTTTGACGCATGAGACCTATGTTCGTCACTTACATATGTTCATACAATTCTAGCTGAATTCGTGATAATTATTTTAAAAGAAACTTTCGTTTATGTCATGTCAACCAGTTTTTCAAATAAATTCAATAGCTTATCTATACCCTGTTTTTCATTCGTAAATTTATTTCTCGGAACCCGTGAGTCTTTTTCATTTTTAAGGAAAGTATGTTTTATTCTTTTCCTTTATATCTCGTCATTATTATATTTTCACGAACATGTGGCGCAATAGCCTATTACAATACGTCATACCTACTTACGTCTATACATAAACTAATTTTGAATATCTTTTCACTGCGAATAAAATGTAAATGGCGTCATACAGCATCCTCCCCCCTCCTGATTGGCAGCGACACCAAATGTAATAAACGAAAACACAAGTGGAGACTATTGAATGTATTTGAACGCAAAATTACAGAACGTCTTAGTAAAATCTGAGAACCATACAGTAAATACTTTAATTGCAAAATGTCAATCAGTTGTCTCAGACTTCATTGTCCCTTCGTTTCTATATCAATCATTTTTGTTCTCGCTGTCTTCGATCTTCTTAACTTTCTGCCGCCCGGCATTTCACTTTCGAGTGGTGATACATACTACTTATGTCTGTCGTTATCAGTAGTAGCATGCCACACTACTGCCTAATATTATTGAGCACTGCATTCAACTGGTTCCCGAATCGAAGGTACCTGGAGAACACGCAAATATATCCCAAAGCAGGAAGCAAATTGAATTAATGCACTGAGGAAATGTCAGTGTGTAGATAAATTTTACACCGGAAGATACAAGTTTTTTTCGGTACCTCCACTAGTGACGACTGATCTGAAATCGACTACTCAGCCAGCATTAACATGGTTGTTTTGGAACTTACCTTCATCAGGTCGGTTTTTCTAATTGAAATATAGTGAGACGTAACTTGAATTACAGTTTGTTTTTAACGGACTTTTCCTATCGATTTGGTAAGTGTTTCCCACCTAGTCTTATAATATATATTAGGAATTTAATATGTTACATTGAGACGTTTACATTCTGTGGGTGGTTTTTTAACGCTGAATGCATTAAGATCAAACATCTAACCTCTTCATTTATTGAGCTATGGAAATTAGTAAGTCGAATTTTCGTTCATTATTTTTAGGCAATTAGCACGGATTCCATGGGTACTGTAGATGAAGATCCATCAGAAATCCAATTACCGGAAATTGTTGATGACTTGGATTATCAATACAGAACTGCAAACTGGCTTATTAAAACCAGAGAGCCATTTTGCCTTGGAGATGATGTAAGAGGACAACTTATGTCTCTATTACGCAAACAAAGTGAATTTTCACGGACGTTGTTTAAAGATAAAGGTGTTTTTAGAGTTCCGTTTAATGAATCTATGTTATTTAAAGAAGACGGATATGGAGAGTATGCTTTGGATTGGTTTCCTCCAAGTGATCAATCAGTAATCCCAACCAATATTGTTGTCTATGTTCATGGAGGGTATTGGCAGTTGGTTGGTTGGGAAGAATCCAGTAGTTGGGCAGTTCCTGTTACAAATGCTGACAGTATATTCGTCTCTTTGTCTTACAGGTTAGCTCCAAAAGAAAAGTTGGAGGCGATGCCACAAAGCCTATGTCTCGGAATGCAAAACGTTATGACTCTTACGCATAAAATGTTTGGCAACTTGGATTATACGAAGCTCCGCATAACCCTGGTTGGACATTCTGCCGGTGCACACTTAGTTCTGGAAATGTTATATTGGGCTCATATGGAACTCAAATCAAATAATAATTGGCTATGCTGTTTGCGAAACCTTGTTTTAATGTCAGGAGTTTATGACCTACGTCCAATTATCCACACTTACGTAAATAAAGCAATAAAGTTCAAAACGGTTGAGGAGGCTTTGTCTGTCAGTCCCATCCGACACTTCATGCAAGATGGTCCAAATCTACTGCTCAGTAAATCACTTCATTGGATTGTTGCTTGGGCAGAGTACGAATCACCAGCTATGAAGGAACAATCTAAATCCCTAGCGGACTTGTTGAGTAGTGCATCAAGAAGTGGACAGGGTTCACATTTGCAATTTACCTATGAAACATTTTACATGTCAAATGAAGATCATTTTACTTCACTCCTCGGTCTGCATGATGGTCCAACTCACAGTGCGATCCTCAAAAAAATCATAGATCTGATTAAAGTCAAGCCTAATTAAGTTGAATCTCACGATATAAAATCATAGAATGAGAGATTGATTTTAAAGCAAATATTTTCGATGAAATTATATTTTTGTATATGCGATCGTTTTAATTTTCTAAATGAATTATTTGAAAATACAATAATAACAGTAAGAGTCGGGAATACTTACTAGGTGATAAATTTATATTGATTAACCAAAAGCTATAACAAGCCCAGTAAGAAACTACTGTTACTTCTACACATTGACCACAAAATATATTCAACATCTTTGTACTGGCACCAAGTTTGATATTTAGTTACAAATATGACGTAACTAATTTTCAAATTTAATGTGATAGAACCTAGTAAACTACTGTGTTATGGTAATAAATTTTCAAAGGCGGTGTGATGTTTGATGGTAGCTAGATCAATTCAACTAACCTTTAACCATTTAGTTTGCGCAAATAGACTAGCTGTTGATATGTAGATGAACTGTCAGTGACAGTTATCTAATTTTACCAAAGATTTATTCTAGGCAAAAACTTTTCTTAATCACGAGTCATGAAGTTATTATAAGAAATTTGCCTTATCTCCCAAGTTAGTGTTTTTCCTTACAGATAATTCACTTTTTTGCGAACCAAGTTAGTTTATATAGATAAAACATGTGGTATATGAGTTAGTAAGATGTTTTTATTCTTAAAATCAGAATCTAGATTAATCCAAAGAATCCTATTAAGAACCATGAAAACACTAGTGTATGAAATTCATTATTATATATAATCACTCGGATTTTAGGATAACTTTAGAGTCTGTATAGAAGTTTCCAGTCGTTTAGAAAAGAAATTTCATAAACGAGATAGCAGTTACAACAACAAGAGCAAGATACTTGCATTTATCTGTGTGCTGACTTAGAAGTGGGGATAGACATATAGAGTAAGTGCATGTTTGGTTTTAAAATGTGAGGCTTTCAAAGGTCAGTCAAATATACAGTACTTGTTTTTCATAATGGAAATACAGAAAGGAAGAGGTGAAGTCAATTGCGCATATGTGTTGACAAACCTGCAGATCTTAGATTAGCATTTCCATACTTCATACAATAAGGAATTTCGAGCACGAAGTAACTTCTGTGCTACTTCGCCTTTAAGACGATTGGTCAAAAGGGAGGTAGAAACAGCACCAGAGGACAAAGGTAAAGCATATAACCTAGGGAAGGGCATTGGAAGTATGGATTCAAATTACCGGTGGGTAAGCCGGTTATGGCCCGCATAATCCCATGAAGGGAAACGATATACAACGACTTAATGAACCGAGCCAATATCTTGAACTATCAACTTGTAACCGTTTTACAACTTTTTCTTTCGTCAGTCAAAGTGATAACTAGGCATCCCTACCTCATGTTTCGATCACTCATTCAACAATTCCGCCACATCTAAGCAATACTTCTGAGGCATATACGATGTATACTAATTGCATATACATGTATTACTTCCAACGACATTCAATACGACGTAAACTACTGATGGGAATATCATACTACTACATTGGATGGAAAGATTATGTAATACTCTCCATCCTATTGCACCTAGTAACTCAACAAGCGAAAAATATGGATGTATAGTTCCTGTTTTAACGAAATGTCCTATTTACAAATGCATATCAGAAATAACAACACGACACCAACGAGTAATATATTAAAACCTGTTCTGGCACGTTTCAAAAAAGTATCCCGCACTATTTTGTAAATTACATTTAATTGGTAAAATACATCATTCAGAAACGCATAACCCCGTTGTCATTTTAGCCCATTGTCAATGAATATGAAACGTGAAAGCAAATAAAACCTTATTTTGTGTGTAATGAAATACAACTAAATATGCCTCTATGACGTCGATCCAGTTTGTTGAAGGTGTTTTATAACACTAATCCAGTTCCAACCTCTAGGTAACTCTCCACCTTGTCCTAGTCTATCTAGGTGCTTCCTTTTTTGATTTTTAGATAATTGAGGTAGTTTATTCTGTTTGCGAGAAACCTATATAAACAATGTATAAAAATGTCAAACAATTTAGACATACCGACGGGGTTTCACTCGGGAACGAATTGTTTTGTGATGTATCTACCTTATCAACTGCAAAAGATCTAGTAAATCGCTCATAGTTTTCCTTTAGGTACTCAATTAAAGTAAATGTTAGAGCTGAGCCAAGTTGATCTTTAGCAACAGACACTAATTCTTCAGTTATTTTCTCTTTAACATTTAAAGGGATATGATGATTATAAAAAGAATCCATAGAGATACAAGGTAAAACATCAGGATATCCTTCAGGCCAGTAAACTTGTACAATGAATGAAGAAGTCGTTCCCGCCTCACCTACCTATATAATAATTATTTTTCAAAAAGGTAAAACTAACCTTGTATTCCAAATTATAATCGTCTGATATCGTCAATACTTCTTCATCGAAAATTGATCTTAGCACTTGAGCTTCCTCCTAAAGTATTAGACTAGCAGCACCAAAGCAAACCTCTCTTGGGTCACATATTGCCATTCCTCATTAAATAAATCCTATAAGGCAAAACAATTAATTGTTAAATAAAATAAAAAACAATGAAGACTATCGGGAGTGTTTTGCTAAGAAAATCAGCCCAAAAAACCAGGTCTCATTATTGGTCGTCTGCTTTTGTGAATCAGACTGATTTCAGAGTATTTTTAGCTGATTAGCACTCACGAAAATTGGTGAAGTACAGTTCTCATCGTACTGTCAACGAACTGCCGGCATAGACTACACTTTATTTGTTGAAATTCAAGACTTTTTTTAAAGTGGCGAATCTTTCTTTGATGAAATAGAGAGAAATAAGGAAGTGAATTACAGGAGAGGAAAAATAATGATTTTGATATTCAGAATGATCATTTGTGGATGATTTGAAACATTTTGATACGGTATCGTCTAGTTACACAAAGTATCGTTCAAGAATCGGTGGAACATTTTCCAAGTCTCGACTATCGATCATAGTCACATGAATATGGGGAGACGAGGGTTACAATTATGTAAAACATAGAAGTCAAAATATATTTTGAAAAAATAGTGAGTACATTTACTGTAACCTGCCACAGAATAATATATAGTGACAAAGGTAGAAGAGTCATACAGGTCTTTTTTGTGCAGTGGTCTTACTTGTTCTTACGACTCCAAGTGAGTTTAGGTGGATGCAAAAGGCGTACACGTAAGCCATATGATGAGTTTAGTAGGTAATTCGAGAAGCTTCTCTCAAATTCGTCTATTACTTTGCGTTAATTAAATGAGCAAGTATAGTTTTTCTAATCATTCTTAACTCAACTGCAGAAGGTAATGTACGAAAACTGGATGACAGACTTGTTTAATTGCGGGACCTATTAGACTGCCCCACAACGGTAGTCACACTGCATTATGATGAAGCGTACAAGAGTGCCTCATCAGATAGCCTAGTTGTAATGATATAACGGTTATTAAACAGAGAATTGGCTTGATAGGTATACAACATTGCTTTTACAAATTTGGTTTGCAACGGGCAACGTGGTGATACAGGGAGCGTTAGTAACCATGATAATTAGTTCCATATATTATTGATTGACAGCTGATCTACGATGAGTATCATATGGTTGATTATTTATCCCGAATATGATGTAGTTACAGTGTACATATACGCGTTTTCCCAATCAAATAACAAAATTTATTTAATCTGAAATCATGGCGAGACCATATACCTAAGGTTAGGTGAGTTATATTGGGAGAAACTAGAATCAACATTTACTATTTGATTTAACAGTTGCGAATAAGATGACTAAAACACTAACTACATTATTAGACAAGTGGATTTCGCGCCAAAATTCCATGACTTTTTGCTTTAATCTGTTCAGGTCTTCCGGAAGTTGATTTTCAACGAAATAATAACCAACAGAATGAACTGAGAATATAGCTTTTTCATTTCAAATAAATTTCTCAAAAAATTTGGGATTATCTATCACCTTACAAGGTATACAGAATACCTTAAGCATCTAGCTTAGGCTTTTCGATCGACTCATTCTTGAATTTTCAACACGCAGGGATAGACAATTTTCTATGAGCTCAGACAAGCATTTAGAATATTACAACCACTGCTAGTGGATCCTAACAGTTGATAAGTCATTCTAACCTCAAAACCTTGAGTGTGAATTTCCCGCCTTCAAAGTCTGCTCAAACAGTTGTTTTGAATAAATTCATGTTTCGCAGCTTGTTACGCCACCTTTGCTTTAAGTTTTTATCATTCGAAATGTCCTTATACATAAACGAATACGAGCGCTCTGCTATCAAGGAGATTGGTACAAGTTGATTTGCATTTTCTAAACATCTCTAACATTATACAACATCAACACCGTTTTTCGTCCGAAAAATCTATCCTGACCTTAACGTTCGGTAGTTCGCATTTCTTTTCGAGCTTTACATGAGTTAACAGGTAACTTTGGTTTCGTTTTAACTCACTATTTGGTCTTCATAGTTTCCCACGTCGATGATAGTCAGTATGTCTCAAACTTTTGAACCAAATATTTTATCCGTTTTGAGTGTTTTGTGTTTTGTTTTGCAGTCGACAACGTTTGCTAGGATCAATCTGGCAACTCGCGTTTCACCATGGACATGAAAATTTCATTTAAACGACCTGGATGTTGTTTTACTATCACCTGTGGTATGCAGTGTGACAAATACAAAGTTTACCATCATCAAGCACTCATAGATGTTACAGTAACTGCCTGCAAGAAACTTAACGAGTCAGGTGGTATTTGAGTGTTGGGCACATGTAACATGAATGCCTAGAACTTGCTGAGCCTAATCTTTATCTTGACAAGTGTACGAAAAAATTCAGCAACCCTGATAAAGGCAGTCCCTAAACGGACAAACAAACAAACACACTCAGTATAGTAAGTAAGTGAGTCTTCGACAACATTGGTATCGATAGAACATGCATCGACACTGGTGAGGATATACTACAAATCGGCAACTCCATGATATCGACATTGTTATACTCTCTCAGCAAACTTGGGTTTCCCATCACGAGCTCCTCAAATGCAACTGTGTTCCCCAAAAAGTCTTTAGGCGACTGGAGCTGCATTCACAGAGTTAAAAAGGATCGAGTGTCACCGTCATGAATGCTGAGCTGCTCAGGTCCTGCAGAAAGATCAACTAATGAGTTTAAATGCATAGATGTTTTCACTAAATATTGCATTTGGCAAAACGAAACGAAAATCCAGTGAAGACGCAGTATGAGGAAGTAAGCTAATTGGTTGACGTATAAATCAAGATAGTGAAGATTTTAAAGTATATCCTAATGTCTATATTAGGGAAAAAACCATTGTGTTTGCCTTTGAGGTTTTGGTTGTGAATCACGTTTGATAATGTCTTAAGGCACTAAAATGCATAATCCCTGTGACCATTAATAAGATCATGAGAGACCCAAATATGCCAATTCAACACAACTATCCTACCCTGAATAATATAAACCAAAATTGGTCACCACGATGCAGCGACACCCTTGTCTTCCTTCCAACCTACTCATACCCTAGTTATTCTTGAACGTAGCTGATATCTTGTCGTGGTGATCGGGTTTCCCCAAAATTGTTCCCCTGACCGTTACACGATTAAGTCGGGGAGAAGGATTCCAAGCACTTAAATCACCAAGGACTCTTTCGAGTAGCGTTAACTAACACTGGACATACAGAGGCTGTTCTACTTGCTGAAGTTAGATGAGGATTTAAGAACAATGCCTGAAATTGAGCTACACCTTCAATTCAGCAGAATTATTGAAAGTGAATCTGAACGCTGTTTGGTGTATCGGAAGCTGCAGCACCTAATCAAGGACGCTTCTCCTGATCCAGGAGTGATTCATTCCTCTATACTGAGGGGAGCGATTACAATCTTAATGAAATTAATTAGCCTGTTCTCATGTACGCTAGACCGAGGCACGGCACCAGAACATTGAACATTGGCTCATATTACACCAGTTTTTGAAGGAGGTCAACACAGGTAACTTTCAAGAACGGAACGTGAGCACACAATCTACTCCTTAAAAGTGGTCTAATGTAATGTGATTCGCCGCTAGCTGAGCTAGTACAAGTGACTTCTCAGAAGTTCTTTTAAGAAAACTTGATATATTTTTAAGGACAGAGTACGGTCTCTTGTTATTATTTGCCAAAACGTTTTTCTCTTGTATCGTTAGATATACTTAGTTTCATACTTTGAGTCCATTAATTCTCTGCTGTCACATACAGAAGCCCGTCAAGCGAAAGCTTTCCTTTTACACCCAGAACTATTTGAAACCATTCGAAAGATGATATTAGTGAACTTCTTTTTTGTCAAGTTTGGATTCAGGAAAGACGCAAACTGCTTCAGGAAAATCCCATTAGTCATCATATATTTGATGACAATGGAATAACAGGTTAGTGATCAGACGAGGGAATACATAGACCATGAGAATATCCTCTGCAAAACGCAACACGGACTCAGGAATGACGTTCATGAGCAATTAAATCTTCACGTTATACGGGACAGTTGAACAAATCGGTAGGACTAACATATACCAGTCCATGTTATATTTCTCGAATTCACCAAGTTGTCTGACTAATTATTACACATCACACTGGTTTTACTGACCAGCTTCTGTTTTTGCTTTTAACTTACCAAGATGACAGTATGTTTCAAAACAAGGTAATTAAAGTGCACGGAAGCAGGAGAGTCTTGACACCTTGGGTTTCACAGAAAATCATCTTGCCCCCTTTACTCTTCCTGATCCTATGTGATGACTTTCTAGACAAAATTTACTCAGTAGTGCCAAACTCTGTGGACGACTTGAATATCTGGAGGCCCATATAAAGCAAGATAGACTCCCGTAAGCTTCAGAAGAACATTAAAACAATTGGGGAATTAGGGGAAGATAGTAAGTTGAAACCTAAGTGTCCTATCAAGAACAGTATGTCTGCGTGACACATGAATACTTAAGTCCCCTAAGTAAATTTGCGCCCTATTGTTTTGTCAGAACGTGGCTTCGAGCTAGTAACCACTGAGAACATGAACCGCAGCTCGAACCACATGAAAGATGGAGCCATATCTAAAGTAACTCCTTAACTTTTGAGAAGAAGACTTAACACAACCCCATAAGACTCCAGGCAAACCTTTGTGATGAGTCCTAGTTAACACGAAACCTAGGTTCATGGTTTACTCTCAACTAGATAAAGCCATCAACTTTTCTACAAACGGGTCTCATTTAGTAGAAGAAGAAACCAAATTCACACTTTATCACGGAAAACTATTTTTTTGTGACCCAAGAGATAATGAACTACTTCAGCTTGACAGATACTCGTCAGATATATCTATCCACCTACATTCGGTGATTAAGACTTAACACCAAGAAAATATCCTGAAAAAACACTGACAGTTCAAAAGAGTACTCGTTGCTCTAAAGACGTCTTCATTCAAGGTAATCAACACAAGCAAATGAACTGAACCAAAGAAAGTTCAAATCAAAATTTATTCACTGCTGAGGCTTTGGCAATAAACCTATTCAAACGCGAACTCTGCATGCAAATATGATACGTCGAACCTCTTATCATGCCTTGACTCTAATTCGTTTCTGAAATATGTTTTAGTCTTTTTAGGTTCTTGCTGTTATTTTCTAACTTAGAATCGTATTATTACACCTTAAATTTTTTTCATAATTATTGTTCAATAATATTCCATTCAGAGTTAATATCACCAAAAAAGAAAGATGTTATTCATATCTATTAAGGAAATATTCACAAAATCGAAATTATCATATTTTTACTATTCATTATTGAAAAACTGTAATCCAAGAGCTTTAAATGAAATTGTTATGTCCTGACGAAGAATAAGTGAACGGTGACAGCTAGGATATATATATACTCTTATTGTATAATTATTAGGTAACTATGTTATATGTATATTCACATTCTTCTTATTATAAGCTTCCGCTTGACCTGTTGACTGCTACTATGCGATTTATCATCCTTAAGATATTGGCAATTTATTAGTTACAGTCGCTCACAATCAGAGCCACTTTTTGGATTGATCTTGTATAATTTTTTATTTTCTACTTGATAGTATGATATGGCCTGATTTACTTGTATATAAACTGCGGGTGTTTGAAATACATGATTCATATAGCGAAGAATGATATTGGTGTTCTATAATGAACCGTCTGGGTTAAACAAGAAGTTACTATCTCGTAGAATCAATTAGAATTCGGGGTTGACTCTAGGCTGCTCGTGCTGGATTATACGTCGATGGTCTGATCAATAAGTCGATATCGTAATTGTCAATATTATCATGTAATATATTAACAGGGCATAAAACATAACAGGACAGCATCGATATTACCTTAATTCATAAGTTTTTAAGGTATTTGGATTGTGGCTAGCAGGATGCATTCATATTTTAGTGCTTATACTTATACTGAAACTTGAACTCAAAATCTGTTTAAATATGCTAAAGGTGTTGAAGATAAGAATGGTAAGATTACTATAAACTTTATTCCTGTAAAACCAATAAAAAGCGAAAATATTTTACATTAGCGACCAAATCGATTTTATTGTTTTCTAATAAGTTTATGTCTTTTGATTATTGGTTTTTAGTATCTATATTTAAGATTTAAGATGATAATATATACTGAGACTTAGAAAAATGATAATTGAAAAATTTCACTTTATTCTGAAATGAAATTTTTTAAACAGAATTGACACATGAAGCTATTTTGGGAAAAAACTCCAGTACACTTACCTCAGTGTTAAATTTAGCGCTTGTGACACCACAAGATAGGAAAATTCAGTAAGTTAATCTCAAATGATAAGCTAATAAAGTAATAAGTGGAGGATTCTATTCTGTTACAAATAACTTGAAGCAATGATTAAATCAAGTACGGTATCCTATTTTGAATGACTTTGTTTGGCGAACTAAGTTCGATGGTATCAGTTTGATGTTTGGAAATTTCACAGTTGAATTTAACTTCACTTAATATAGATATATATGACCTTATAATATGTTTCCTAGCAATATATAATAATGGTTTCTAAAATAAGTGGTTTGTTCATGAGATATATTTGGATTAGTTTTTTATGTTATTCACTGATGTGTCAATGGGAAAAATGGTAGGTTTGAATAGCATTGTAAATAAGATGTAAATAAGATGCACA